TAAACTTCATTAGCTCTTTTGATTGGTTATGGCTTGAAATCCACTTTCTCTGCAAATAGAATAGCTACCCATTTTTTCTGGGATCTTTTCATGAAAAATATTTTTTGGCATCTTTAACATTCACTGTATGAGTATCTTTGAATTAAATGTGTTTCTGATATAGAGCCTATTGTTAGGTTTGTTTCTTTTTTATTTCAAAGTGAAAAAGAATAAAAATCATGATATATAATTCCAAAGCAAAATAATAGGAGGTTAATATGGTTAATATATTGCATATTGTTATCATCAAAGTAGTTGTTCAGATGACAAGATATAGGCATGAAAATTGATTAAATGAACAAAAAGCCACAAATTCATCTTTTTGATAAACAGATATTATAATATAGTCATCTATCTGCTACACATATATGTAGAAATATATATATATGTATATATACATATATATATATATATAGAGAGAGAGAGACATATAATCTTTTTTCTTCTTTATTTTCTCCTTTCCCTGATCCCATCTGTTTTTCCTTATAAGCAGTTTCTTTCTCTTTCATTTTCACAATATCTACTATTACATTATGGATTTTATTTACTCTTTCAGTTTTTTACACTAAGGAGACAACATGATATTTTCATTTACGAGCCTGATGTACCTCACTTACAAGTATGGTCTCAATTTACAACTATTTACCTTTCAAAATCTGAAGTTTATTTTCTTTATAGCTGAGTAATATTTCATTGTGTAAAAATGTCACATCTTTTTATCTGTTCCATGGTTCATGGGCACTTGAGTTGTTTCCAAAATTTCACTATTACAAGTCATGCTGCAATAAACATGTGTGCACATATATTATGTTGCATAATGTTTTCAATTATTTTTGATAAATACCCACAAATGGAATAGCTGCTTTGAATAGGTCTTCCAATCCTAGATTTTTGAGAAATCTCCACCGTGATTTCCACACTGGTTGTAACAGTCTACACTCCTGCCAAGGTTTCCTTTGTCCCTACAGTCCTTCCAACCAATTGTGGGCATTTGATTTCTGAAGGACAATGATTCTTTCTGGAGTAAGATGGAATCACAATGTTGTCCTCATTTGTGTTTCTCAAATGAACAGTGATGTGGAAAATTTCTTCATATATTTACTTGTCATTTGTAATTCTTAATCAAACAAGTGCATGTTCAGCTCTGTTGCCCATTTGTGGATGGGGTCTTTGAATTTGGAGACCTGATTTTTTTTCAGTTCTTCATATGTTCTAGACAGAAGTCCTTTGTAAGCAGGGCACCTGTGTAAAACATATTATCATTCTTGGATTTTTATTTTCACTGTTGGTAATTTCTTTTGATATGCAAAAAAATTTATAAAATTTTGTAAGATTTTAATAAAATCCAAATTGTTGATTCTTTTTAAAATTTTATATTAAAGAGAATAAAACAAAAGAAGACATAACAAAGCAAATCAGAACATACCAATGTAAACAGCACAGCACTTCACAACAAGACAACCAGATATTAACAGTAGCTACCATCATGTCACTTTTCTTTGAAATAGTAGAGAATACCTTCACATACAATAATATCAAACATAAAAAAATAGTATAAAACCATTCAAGAATATGAAATTATTACAGGATATTCAAAGCCAAATAACAGAAAATGAACAATGGCTACTATAATGTCTCATTTTCCATAAAAAATTGTTTATACTATCATGCATAATAAATTTCAATAAGACACAACATAAAAGAATCAATGGAAATAGGAGATCAAAAGCATGGTATGATTTCAAAGCAAGATGATATTAAATCAGCAATGGCTGCCAGTATGTCTTGTTTTCTTCAAAGAAGTTGTTCATGCATTCACACATAATAAAATCAAACAAAACACAAATCATTCCACTCAATGAATTAAAACATTATAAGGCTTCAAATCAATGTAATGGGAAACATGATTACCATAAAATCTTATGTATTCTTGGCATTTCTTACACTAGGGAGACTATATGGTATTTATACATGTGAGTTTATTTCACTTATGAGTATGGTCTTAAGTTGCATTCATTTATTTATAAATATCTCAGTGTGATCATTCTTTATACCTGAGTAGTACTCCATTGTATAAAAATACCACATCTTTTTTATCCATTCCTCAGTTGATGGACTCTTAGGTTGTTTTCAAGATCTAGCTACTACAAATTGTGCTGCTATAAACATGGGTGCACGTATATCATTGTAGTATGATGTTTTCAGTTCTTCCAGGAATATGTCCAGAAATAGAATAGCATGGTCCAGTCAGACCTACAGGACTCCTGTGCCACCTCCAGTGTTCCAGAAAGCTGGGCACGCCGCTAACCACTGTGGATGATGGTCCAAAGCTCTCCCTGGGTAAGGACCAATGCACTGGAACTCACTTCATGGACTCTCAACTCCCCTGATTGAAGAAGGTTGCTAGGTGTAATCTGGTCCGGCCAAAAAACCTCCCAAGCTCAGTCTAGTGTGGCTGGAAGCTGGGCATATCCTTAACCACTGGAAGCAATGATCTTAAACTTTCCCTGGGCTTGTGGTGGTGAGCAGGAGCTAAAACTGCAGGCCTAAACCTGCAGAGCCCAGACCAGTGTGGCTGAAAGCTGGGCACATCCCTGATGACTGGGAGCAATGATCTTAAACTCTCCCAGGGCTTGGGATGGTATGCAGGAATTCACCTCCTCTGGCAGCACAGTTCCTTCCTCTGGCAGCCAGTTCCCTGGATTCCATGTGCTGTATTTTTTTCCTGTATTGTTCACAAAAGATTTCATTTTATTATGTGCCTGTCCTTTTTTTCTCTATGCATTCTGTAGCTACGCAGATCAATTCTTTCATTAATGTTGTCATTTCTTTTTTTACCTGAGTGATTTTTGTGATCTGATTTTCTCTATAACCCTATGGATTTTTTTCCTTTACTCCACTTACTAAATTTTCAGAAATTGCATTTGCATTGCTTTTAATATCTTCTATGTCAATGTCTCCTTTATTTTTTCCTGATGGACTAGGAGTTTGAGATTGCATTTTGCTTTTTCATTGTTCCATTTTTCCCTGTTTGTTGATATTTCAGTCTTTTCAATCCTGCTAGCCTAGACTATCCAGTATATATTTCTTAGGATTCTACATTTGACTGATATTCACTCAGCTGCAGCACCCTACATTGTAAATGATGGGCCAGTCACCAGAATTCCTCTTGAAGGGTCATTTGAATGAGTTGTGGATTCATCTTAGGCTGACTACCTATGAGTATTGATGTGAAATAACCCTTAGCTAATATTGTTACTGTGACTCTACACTGTTTCAGGCTGCCAGATCCAGTGTCCAGCTGGGGCCTTACTGTGTCACTGAGTCTTGCAGGCCCAAGTAAGACCCTCCATGTGGAGGGAGCCTCACTTGTGTTCTTATCAGTCTACCAAAGTTCTTTTGCTGGAGGGAGAAGTCATCCATGCCCTTCCTGCTAATGAAAAACTCTGAGTGGTTGGAGGAGTTGTTGATATTCTTGTCTTCTCACTGTGGTCCTCTGCTTGTTAGGGAACTCATGTATGCTCTCACTGCCTGCTGAGGTCCTTTAAATGAGAGAATGAGTCACGAAAGCTCTTGCTGACCTATCAAATTCCTCACATGGGGGAAGGAACACAGACAATCCTGCTAGCCTAACAAGGTACTGCAAGTGGGGAGAGGGCTGACTGACATTCCCACCAGCTGCTGATGTCCTCCAAATGTTGGGAGATGTTTCTGATGCTCCCACAAGATGCTGAGGCCATCTAGTTATCTCAAATGCGTTTCGTAATGGTCATGTGGTGAGTGTCCGTGTAAGCAATCTATGTACAAATCTATGTACAATCTATGTACTAATCTATGTACAAATAAAAACTATTTCCCTTACACAATAAACAATCTGGTCCTAAGCATGTAATAGCCTTTCCTTTTCAATTATTATAAGCCACAGCCTGTGGTCCTAGAGATTCTACAAATCCCAATGTAATAGGAGCTACGGGGCCATGAATAGCAGTTCCTCATTTTAATTCATTTAATATCTTAAAGGGTAAAACTTCATGAAGATGTACAATTTCTCCTGCATTATTCACCACTTAGGCTTTAATAATAGGGTAAATATGCTGCCAACCTCTACTCACACTCACCTGGCATCTTTTAGCAGCAGTTGTAAGGGAAACTGTGAAAGGTGGAAGGTCCAGCCTGTGTTGTAGCAAAATTTTTCTGAACCAAGAATGCAGAACTAGCTGCTCGGGCACAGGTAAGATTCTTGGTTTTACATTGGATGTTTGTGAAATTGGTCACAGTGAAACACTTCTTCAGTGGAGAACTGTCCTACCCTGACACCCCAAGTCCTTTCCCTCACTTGACTAAGCCAAACTAGAACTTTCAAGTTCCATGTCAGGGCTGTTGCTCCACTGTCCTTTTTATTTGCTGGGAACTTAGTTTTAAGATAGAACTCAAAGCCAAATACTCTGTGGTTTCTCTGAAGAGGCATATGATCATCAGAACTCCCTGATCAAGGTCCACAAGGGTAAGGAAATATGGGAATCTTCTCAGGCCACTCAGCAGTATATTGCACACACAATTTTTGCCCTAAACATCTCCACATCTTCAGATTCACAGTTCATTGTTCCAGGAACAAGAGACATGTCTTTTGCAGAAAGGTGAGAAATTTTGATATTTGAGAAACCATATTTTAAATTTTTCATTTCAATAATATATCAAGCATATATACTTACTGTTATCATTCTTTAGAATCTTTTTGCCTCATTTTTAAATCTGATGGGATCAAAATTGATAATATCAATACACCTCTCTCCCATATTGTTTTGTACACACACCAACGTGTCCTCAAACCTGCTATCTGATGAGTTACCTTTACCACAGGTCTGTGTTCAGGTACCAAAATACTTCATCCAGTACAGCTCTTCAAATTTCCTGGGAGAGGATAATGAAGCATAAAGATATGAAGGCATGCATCCAAACACAGAAAGTTGAGGGGAGGTGGAATCCCCTCTCCTGATGAGAGAAAGAAACTGCCCCAAAACTGCAATGCACTTATTTACACAATCAGGAAGAGGTTGATAATATGTAAAACCTTTCTGCTTATGGGAGAATGGACCTGCCTAGCAACACACTGGTCTGGTTTACCCACGGTGCTCCGTGTTCTTGAGGCTGGCCCTGCTCTAGCCACACATGCATGATCAATCTGCAGCACAGCTTCTCTGCATGCTCACCTAGAAGCTATGAGATCTCAACACTGGAAACACTAACAGGAAACCAATGTATGGGTATTCCAAGTCCTGGACCTAGTTGGTGACTGGCCACATACCCTCTCCAAAGGATACAACAGATGTTTTAGCTGGAATAACTCACAAGCTTTTGTAGCTCACCTCATCCACTGCAACATTTCACTGGTGAATTTCTCCTTGAATTCTCTGGAGTTACCTGCCCTCTCTGTGTCTCTGTAGGTTCATTCCTGTCTTGGGCTATGAACCAGGAGGTAGAAAGTACAGTTTGCCACCTATATTTTCAATGTTTTCCTCTATCTCTTTATTTTTTCTGTGGGTTATAGGTTTCCCTTTAGATCCTTCTGGATCCTGAGGATCCAACTCCCTTCTGCTTTTCTCTCTGAAGTTGTTATATCCCAGTGTCTGGATTCCAAGTCTCATAAAAATTGATTTGTTGCTCTTGACTCCTATGCTGTCTTCCCAGAATTTTGCACATTTTCTTTATTCACTCATCTCTGGATTGACATGTATGCTGTTTCAGAGTTGTAGCTATTATGAATTGTGCTATTATAAACACAAATATACATATATTACTATAATGGGATGTCTTTAGGTTGGAAGCTGGTGTTTTCTCATGAATGAGGTTCCCATGGAAAACAAAACATGAGGAGTCATCAGCAGCAAAAAACAGCAGCAAATCAAAGACAACATCTGTATCTTTATAGTTCAACCCTTATATATGCCTTTTCCACATTTTTATTTTCTTGTTTGCTTCACCATGAAGAATATGCATGCTTGCCTATGGTAAGTCATGGTTACATAAGTATATCCTGCTGCGCAACTGCACAAAAGAGTGTGGTTACATCCTCAGATATCCTCAGAAACTCCAAGATTACTAGCAGTATTGAGTGGTTCCCCACATCCCACACCCTCAGAGGTTGGGGCATATTGTTTCTTGTGAATGATCTACAGGGTAGGACCCTATGCACAGAGAACAAAACAGTTAAGGGAACAGTAGAACATTAACAACCCCATTCCCACCACAGCACATTTTGTGATTACTCAGCAACAGGTGGATCACAAGGACTCCCACCATTGGATGAAGGGGTCCATTGCAAGACCTGGATCGTGGCCATCTCCATACCAAACTCTTGCAAGATTTCTTATGCCTGTGTCTGATAGTCAGGGATATAAATGCAACATTTCACATGCAAGAGGCCAAAAGTAAGTTCCTATGCTTCCGTTTCAAATGAAGAGCCATGTTGCTTTGCAAAACTACCTTTCCCATTTGAGAAAGCTCTTCCATGAGCAACACTGAAATCTGAAGCATAACATTCAAGGTCTGAATCAAATTTTGAGCCACAGCTTCAACCTGGAGGACCAGACTTTTAGTGCATGTCCCTGGCATCATGAAGGCCAACAGATAACAACACCAGGCCACCTGCTTTGTGTGGTGCCATCTGTGGTTCGTAACATCAAAGTTTGGGACACATCTCTTAGGGAAAGTCTAATGGTGTGTGGAATTATATGCAGCTTGCTGTCCACTAGGTAGGTAAGGCTAACTCATGGTGCCACATTTCCATAAGGCATCCATAATGTGCTAATTGTTGGACACCATACCTATACACTTGTGACCATCCCACCAAATATTTATGTCACTTATCAGCAACATCTAGTTACAAGGGACAGGTGGTATCTACCATGAAGTTTGATTTGCCACTGATATATATATTTGTTGAATACAAAATAGTGCTACATTCAGCAGTGTCCAATTTGCATTTCTGTCATACACCCCTAATCATTGTCTTTACCAGGTCTCAGTCTTTGTGAGGTAGTTGTGATTTTTGGATCAGCACGTTGGTGAGCTTCTGTCATTGATCCCAGCTAAAGTGAGTCCATAATAAAGCATCTTTGCTACTTCTGATTGGTCCAGTTGAATAGGGATACTGGTGTAATTCTTCATGGGAAACCCTCAGTATCTTCTCAGGAGTTCAGTGTGCACCAAGCAATATGACTGTTGGTGCACATAGGCAAACGTGTGTGCCCATAAGATGGTGTTAGGATGGCTCAACCTGGTTGGAAGGACAGGGCAGAAAGAGAAACCATTACAGGGAGATTCCACCTTTTGGGGAGAATACAAGCCACTTATTCATCCTGTAAGCAGATCATGGCTGGAATAATCTTACCTCTTCTATTGGAAAAATGAACCTAGTGCCATGCATGTTGGCACATGCTTATAATCCCAGAACTCAGGAGGTTGAGGTAGGAGGACCATTGCAAGTTCAAGTACAGCCTGGGCTATAAGGTGAGTTTAAGGCCAGCCTGAAGAACAGTGAAACTCTATCTCAAAAAGACAAAGAAAGAAAAAAATAATACTAAACCTAGGTTCCTGTTGCAACCAGGGGTAAAGGAGTCAAGGCTAAATTCACAAATCCCAGGAAATTGGGCCAAGCACATACCATTAATTCCTTTCAGAATGGTGGCTTCAGCATTACATGGACCGTACTCCTGGGTCTTCAAAGGTCAAGTTTAAGTCCGAGGCTGTATTTCTATAACATGTCTAAGTTCTTTCCCCCATGACTCCAAGAAAAACATCCAATTGCCTACCAGGGGGATCTGTAGGCCAGCCCCAAGTCTATTAAGATCATTCTCCTGGTCACATAAGCTCCAAAGAGAAGGGATTACAGCCCCTTTCATTACCTTATATCCCTCTTCTGTGGGTTGAAAATGCAGACAGAAAAACAAGTTGCAGTTTCAGGAGATAATCTAATGGGCTGTCACCCATAAGTCAGGGCTGCTCATTGCACAATTATACTGCCTGCGATAAAATCCATTCCCCCCATGGTGAACTTTGGAGCCAAATAGGCCAGTTTGGATCAAGAACACATTGTACCTCTCAATCATACCAGCAGCCTGCAGCCAGTAGGGCACGTGGAAGTGACATCATTCTCTCTGGCCCATTGTCAAACATATGGCCTACGAACTGGGTTCCTCTGTCAAATACTATGCCTCGCAGAATCCCATATGCAGCAGTCAACCATTATAAAGACATAATGCTGTAATCTTGGTCAGCAGTATATCTGAGGAAAGCAAAATCTACACCTGTGGCTGTATTCACAGCACTCAAAATATATTTATGTCACTGTGAGAGATAATGTGGAACAATATAATCCATGTGTCATATCTGTAGTGGGTGGAGTGTTCTTGGTATCATACTATACATTGTGGACAGCTTCTCCAGGGGACCAGATGAGCACACACACATTAACTACAGCTGTTAACTCAAAAAGAGTCAAGCCCATGTAACATTTTTATGTTATAATTGCATGATTCAGGGCCCTATATGGCCCAGTTTCTTGTGTACCAAGGCATAGCTGCAGAAGTTATCCCTTGTCAAAGCGTTTGTTAAGTCATTTTCCTGTGAGAGTAAGTGCTTACATTTTACTACCTGGTTAGTTTCCTGTCTAACCTGCTATAAGTCATACCATTGGTTGATACCTCACAAGGATGAGTGTCTTATCTTGCAATCTTCCTTGCCAGCATCCAGAGGATTAACCCACTAAGGATGACCCAATTGTTCATACACACATGTAAATGGCCAGAATGCATCATAAACATGCCTATTGTGCATAAGATTGCCCATTGGCCTTTCATGCCTGTCTCAGTTGCAAGCCAGAGTACATCCATGTTGGGCTGAACAATGACTTTTGTCCATTTGCAAGCCATGCCATTGCTAGACCCATCAGCATGCCAGCCTTCATCCAGAGGTTTCTCTTTCTCTCCTGCATAGGAACTATGAATCACATCCTATAGACCATCACCCTCTCAGATATTTTCCTGGGTAGCGTATATACCTGGTCCAAAAACTGGTGCTGATTTGGTTGCAAATGAATTGGCCTTAAAGGAGACTTGCTGTTAGAGGTATATCTCCTGACACATAGGGAAGGAGGACGAGCCACTCCACTTATGGGACAGGATATCTGTTTTGATTCCCAAATCTCTATTGATTATTTTTTCAGCATTTCTACTGTCATCCCATGACACCTGCACAGGCATTGAAAGCAGGATCAAATGTTGCCTGCTGTTTCTCAATCAGAGAATACCAGTTTTTAGCTCCCTTCCACAACTGTGAACAAAACCTAACAGGGCACTTCCACCTCCCATTTTTGCCATAACAATCACTGTTAAGGTAAATTGCAGAGTATGGTTAATGACTTAGAATGCTCGTACTTGTGAAAATGCCTTTTTAAGTACTAAAAAGCAGCTTTTGCTGCATCTGTCCAGTCTCTCATTGCACCCTTCATCAACATTTATTTAGTATAAAGGGTACAGAGTATAGCCAGGTGTCACATGAATTTTTGCTAGAAACCTAGCAAAGCTACATATTCCTGCAAATGGCTTATTGTCGTGGGTGTAGGAGTTTACCTGGATATTTTTGATAATAGCATCAGGAATTACTTTTGTCTTACCCAGCCAGACAATACTCAAAAACATGACAGATAGGCCAGGTCCCTGAATGTTGTCTTCATTTACAGCTCACTCCCAACCAGCAAAGATTTTTTCAGGCTGTGTGTTTCCAAATCTGAAAGCAATCAGAAATTAACATGATATCAACAGCATCATTTTCTGAGGTGTGTAGCCATTTTAATTGCCCATTTTTGGACTACATCTTTGATTTTTGGGTTCTAATGCTGTGATTCATTTTTATATTCCAGCTATTAGTCCCCTGAGATCTAGGTAGCAAAAATATTTTCCATTCTCATTGTTTCCTTCGGTATGCAGAAGTTTTTAACTTGTTATAATTCTATTTGTTGATTTTTGGTATCATTTATTGCGCACTTGGAGTTCTGTTCAAATTCTGTTCAAGTATTTTCTTATGCCTTTGAGTTCTACCATATTTTTGTCCAGTACAGTTTTTGTGATTACGTCTATGTCCATGATGTATTTTGATTTGATTTTAGTTCAGGGTGAGAAATAAGGATGAAGATTTATTCTTCTGCATGTGGTTAACCAGTTTTCCTAGCACCATTCATTTAAAAGGCTTTCTCCAGTGTACAATATTGGAACTATTGTCAAAATCAAACAGCTAAAGATGCGTGTTTATTTCTGCATCCACTATCCTACATCGTTAGCCAATATGTCTGCTTTTTGTGGCAATCATATGCCATTTGTAGCACTATAACTTTTTAGGGTAATTTAAAATTTGGATTTTAATGCTTCCACCCTTGACCTTGTTGCCCAGAATGGCTTTGGCTATTTTATGCTTCTTCTAGTTTCATTTAGATCTTGAATTTCTCTTAACTTTTTATTTTATGGAAAACTAAAACCAAATGTCATAACAAAATAGTAGATACTGTGTGTATCATCATTTTTGAATTACTTATCCCAAGTAAAAGAAGTGAGTATAAAAATTCTCCAAATGATAGTAGCACAAATTTTTCTTTTCTATGAACTAAGAAAAACTAGTAAAATAATTAGCTTGTTTTTAGGATTTTTATTCTTTTTCCTATCCTTGTCTTCCTTCTACATCCTAGTTTATCTTTCCTTTTAAAAAATTCATCCCATTTTGCAATATCTATTGTACATTTTTTATCTTATTTACTCATTCAGTTTTTCACACCATGGAAATAACATGATTTTACCACAGGTGAATCTGATTCATTTCAGTTAAAAGTATTGTCTCACACCGCATCCATTAACTTATAAATGCCTCAAGTTTATATTTCTTTATGACTGAGCAGTACTCCATTATATTAGAAAACTCCACAGATTCTTTTTAACCATTCTTCAGTTGATGAGCATTTGGTTTGTTTCCAAGGTTTAGCTATAGCAAATTGTGCTGCTATATTCATGAGTACACATATATCAATGTGGTGTGATTTTAATTCTCCTGAGCAGTGAGTAGGGAAATAGATTTGTCAAATGAGGCATATCATTCTAATTTTTGAGAAACTGCCACACTGATTTTCACAATGGTTGCTTCCGTCTATACACCCAATAATAGTGAAGCAGGGTACCCTTTTCCCCAGATCCTTGTCATCATTTGTTTTTGGTTTTGTTCTTGATGGTAGTCATTTTTTCTGGGGGGATGGGTTTCAGTATTCACAGTAGCATCTCTTGAATCATCATTGATATTGAATGTTTTTCCCATATTTATTGGACATTTGTATTTCTTCTTCTAAAAGGCATATTACTTAAAGATGTACATTTTTGGTTTGGATCTTTGATTATGAGAGGAATCTGACTATTTTTCATTTATTTACATGTTCTAGATACAAATACGTTGTCTTAAAGACATTTGGCTAATTCTAGATATAATTACATTGTCTGAAATACATTTGGCTAGATATCTTAAATTGGGAATTGTCTTTTCACTTGATTGATTAGTATGCTTTGTGAAACTTTTTAATAGGATGATATACCAGTTATTAATATAATACATTATATATTATAATATATGCCACTTATAATATATTCTTACATTACTTCTCATGTAATTAGGTTTTATTCATGAAATCTTTGCCTTCACCTATGTATTTAGAGGTTCTGCCTATTCTCTTTTCTATCAGATTTAGTGTTTGTGTCTTAATATTTAGATATTTGATCCACTTTTACTTTAGAGCATGGTAGAGACATGGCTCTAATTGTAGTATTTAGCATATAGAAAGCAACTTTTTGAAGTACCATGTATTGAAGAGGCTATCTTTCTTACAATGAGTGTGTTTGTCTACTTTGTCAAAAATAAAATCAGTGAAAGTATTTGTAGTTATTTCTACATTTTCGAATTTATTCCACTGATCCTCAGGTCTGTTTTCTTGCAAGTCCTGCTGATTTTATCATGTAGCTTTTAAGTATAATTTCAAGTCAGAATTTGATGTCTCTTCCTTATCTTTTTTGCTGAGCTATTCTAGGTCTATACTGGCTCCAAATAAATTTCAGGAATGTTTTCTTTAGTTCTATGAGTTATGATAGTGGTGTTCTGATAAGCATTGCATTAAATCTGTATAAAAATTTGGGGATTATGGCCATTTTCAATTTTTTTGGTCTTTCCTATCCGTTAGCAAGGGCTATCTTTTCTATTTATGATATCTTTTTGGATCTCCTTTGTAGAATATTATAATTTTCAATATGTAGATTTGTTACTTTCATTGTTAGACTGATTCCTAAGTCATTTTTGAATGTTATTGTGAAGAATGTGGTTTTTCTAATTTCCCTTGCAGTGAGCTTGTTGTTTGTGCACAGGAATACTATTGATTTTTCAGTGTTGACTTTGTATCCAGATACAGTACTGTATTTAATTATTAGCTCTACAAGACTTTTGGTGGTCTCATATGTAAAATAGCATGTCATCTGTGAATAATGATAACGTAAAGTCCTCATTTCCTGTCCTTATCCAATTTCTTTCTCTTGTCTAAGTTCTCTGGCAAGTCTTTCTAGAACTATACTGAATAGGATTAGTGATAGTGGATATCCTTGTCTTGTTCCTGGTTTTAGATTAAAAGCTTTCAGTTTTTGGCAGTGTAGTAGCATGTCATGTTGGTTTAATAAAAGACAGCTTTTATCAGATTGAGATAAAGACCATCTGTCTAATTTTCTGTGGTGTTTTTTCATCATGACTTGGTGTTGAAATTTGGCAAATGTTTTTCTGCATCTACTAAGAAAATCATGTGGGTGTTTTTGGCTTTGTTAATATGGCACGATATACTGATTTATTTACATATGTTGAACCATCCTTTCATCACTGGGATGAATCCTATTTGGTCATGATGCTTAATGTTCTGAATCAGTTGCTGCATTTGTTTGCCAGTATCTTATTGTGTATTTTTGCATCTATGTTCATGAGG